CGGCGGCGGGAGGGGGCGGGGGGACGGAACCCTAGCGCGTCGGCGGTGGTGAGGGGGCGGCGGCGGCGAGGGGGAGAAGGAAAGGGGGGGGAGGATTTTTATTTTGGATTTTTGGTTTCGGGGGGTTTAAGAGGGAGCAGGGTTGCTGACAAACCACGCGAACCTCTCCCCTGCCGCGCAGACTGCGCGGTTAGGCCCCTGGCTGCTTCTCTATTTGCGATCGGGTCCCTCGCACCGTTCCGATTCAAAAATGGAGGGTGGGGATAGGAACCTCCACTCCCTCGGTCAGTGCACTCGAACCTTTTTCTTTTTTCCTTTTCTTTTTTCTTTTGAAAAATGAGCCTGTGGTTTTCTCCTTAAGGGAACCTTCTAGACTCGGTCGAGCATCGAGGACTCGGTCGAGCATCGAGGACTCGACCGAGGCTCGTGTGCTTGGATCATCTCCGACATTGGTTTCGTTTTGTTTTTTGAACTTCGCATTGAGTAAGTCGCGTTGTAGTCGATGTATGTCGTGTGTGTGTGTGTGAATTTTTACGCGAAGGTGCTCGGATTGCTCGCATTATCTAAGAGTTGTCCTTTAGCTTTGTCCGTGCGTAAGAGCGGGTTGTTAGTCTTTGTCGTGTTTTGAAGGCCAGACAAAACGGCCGGCCGAGCCGGTCAAAAGGTGCATTTATCGCCCTCCCGCCAAATCTGGTGGCTTGCCCCTTCAAAATTTGGAGAAGGGGTTACTTTATCTTAGACTTGGCGTCTAAGTTGGTGGCAACCGTAATAAAACCATGCCTCGAGATCGAAGACGTTTTTGTATCAGATGTGGTGACAAGTCGGTCTTTTTTTGGAGTGTGAGATGAGTCATTTGTAAACGAACCTCTCGTCTACCTAGCCCACGCCCACTCACACTTACCCGTACGCTCTTTCCTATTTCTGATCAAGTCCATCCCTTCATCCATGCGCAAACTTAATTCAAAAGGGATGTTGGGAGTGGAACCTCCTCACTCAATGATATCTCTTTTTCTTTTTCCTTTTTTTGTCTTTCTTTTAGACCTCTGTGTTTATCTCATAAACCTTTTAGGCTCAAGTTTTTAATGCTCGGCCGTTCATGTGCTAAGATTATCTTGGCAGTGATTGCGATATGCTTTTGTGAACTTCTCATTGGCCGTGTTGCGCCGTTTGTGCAATGTGCATGTATATTTGCGTGAAAGTGCCTGAACTGCTCACATTATCTGAGAGTTATTTGGATTTCACCATGCGTAAGAGCAACATGTTGGTTTCAATCGTGTTTAAAATAAGTCAGAGTAGCCTCCCGAGCCAATCAGGGGTGCATTTATAACCCTCCTGGCAAGCCCCGTGGCCTACCCCCATCAAAGTTTGAAGGAGTTACTTTGTCATGGACTTGGCATTCAAGTTAGTGGCAACCATGTCTCAAGGTTTACAATGGGTTTTTGTATCAAACGTGGATGGTCTTGACAAATCGATCTTTTGTAGAATCTAAGATGATCCGTATTAAACTAAATAAATGGCGCAAATCAGGTATTTATTTACAAAAAAATTGCTCATATTAGCTTGTTATTACTTCAGACATTCATCACGTGTCTCGTGTTAGTCTGTAACCGAGCATATGCCATGGGCATTCCGTTCTTTCCACGTAACCTCAAATTTTTGGCATATTGACTATCAAAGTCTAAGTCCATACATAATTAAATTAATGTGGAGTTTAACGACAATTATGTTATGTACATATTAAATTTGATCAACCGCATGTTAGTACACCAACGATGTTCCCATGCCCATTGAGCCCCCCATGTTTTCTCATCTTCCTGTTTGGGTCCCTCCCCACCCTCCCAGCGCAAACAAAATGTAGGGTGAAGATGGCACCTCTTTGGTGGGGAGCACCCATGGACATCACCATGGATCCTACACCAACACCCTAAGTGTCGTGGACCAATGACTAGAGGACGCGCACGTGCCATCGAAACTGAGGTTATAACTCGCTCCTATTTGAACTGCCCTTACATTCATATGAGACATGGCTATTTCCTCAAATGGAGAACCCGTGCATACTCGGGTAGCAAGGAAGCGACCATAGAGAAGCAAGGGAACAAGACTGAGACATGGTGGAAGATGAGCAAGGAAAAGAAGAAGAGAAGGTTGTCCATGCGCTACAACTGAACATCCCGACTGCTAGACGAACATCCAGGCTAAGCCCAGAAGAAATGGCTCTCTAGATAGTTGGCCGGCCTTTGTATCCGAACTCAGCCTGGACATCCGGCTAGGCAACAGAAGCCTTGGCACTCAAGCTGGGCATCCGCCATGTTGTACGGACATCCGGCACCTAGAGCACATCCCTATGGAACCCGAGCCCTAGAACCTACCCGAACATCCGGACACCAATCCAGACATCGGACCCTTCAATAGTCAGACGTCCGGCTAGCTATTTGGACACCGGTCTACAAGCTAATTTGAATAAGTGGTGTTGTATATCCTTCAATACTCCTTCCTCACTTCCTCATATAGGGTTAGCAAAGCATAATAGAAATACTTGAGAGGGTTTTGCTCATCTTTCACTATAATGGAGATCAAGGCCTCCTTTGAAGAAGATACATCTTGGATTCAAGACCTCCATCTCTTCTTGAGACTTGGAGAAGACTGCCCCTCAAGACCTCATCTTCCTTTGTGGATTTTGGGAAAAGTACACTAACTAGTTATCTTCCTTTAGAGTGCATGTGTGATTGGGTCTATGTTCTTGAGTATTTATCTCAATCCACCACCAAATTGTGAAAGATTGGGCAACCTAGGGCTTGGTCATACATCATCTTGGTGTCATGAGCTTTGGTTTCACAATTTGGAGGCCCCTCACCTTTATAGCCTCATTTTGTTTGTTCTTGCCTAAATTCAGAAATTCCCCACAAAATTAGTCATACCAGTTTCTTGCATTTTTGTTGGATCTTGTGAGATTTTGTTGGCCTTGATCCATATATGTGACGAGTTACTTGTGGATCTAGCCTCCCCTTTGAATTTTGTAACCCTTCTCCATGAATCCCACTGAGTGAGACCTGGACTAGGGGGTCCTCGGGTCGCCAGCCTATCTCTCATGGGTCGGATAGTTGGGTCGCACTATATTCGGACCGAAGACCTTTTGTGCCTTGACGTGTACCCCAAGTCAAGATGGAAGATTCAACGTTCTTGTTCCTTCGGTGTAACCGACTATGTGTAAATCCTAGTACCACTGGTGTCTATATAAACCAGAGGGTTTGGTCCGCGGAGGCTAAGAGAACATCTATTATCCTACTAGCTTAGGGTTTAGTTCATTCGATCTCGTGGTAGACTGACTCCGTAATCCTCATATACACAAGCCATATAATCAAGCAGGACGTAGGGTTTTACCTCCTAGAGAGGGCCCGAACCTAGGTAAATATTGTGTCCCGCGTCCCTTGTTCCCCATAGATCCAAGATCCACAGTTCGGGACCCCCTACCCGAGATCCACCGGTTTGACACCGACATTGGTGCTTTCATTGAAAGTTCCATTGTCGGATTGCCAAAGGATCGATGGCTCGCCTGATCATTGGAGACGTCGTCAACACCTGAGACATCTTCATCCCCGGTTAACTTTTCATGTTCGGCAGCATTGTTCTGCACGCCAATTCGGCCAGTCATCTCGACCAGGTCGACAACTTCACCACTAAGCATCATATCAAGTTCGATAACCTAGAATACATCACCGATGCTCGAGGTGATCTGGTCTTCACTGGCTTCTCGGCCTTGCCCTAGATGCCCGACAATCCCAGAGCCTCGGCTTTCGGATCCCCCCTTGGTCCGATCATCGGATCAGCCATCGACGCGCACCAGGATTCGAACTCTGGCCTGGCGCACTCCCCCCGCCTCGGGTCAGGCTTCAAGCCTCAATGCCTACTCGGCACCCATGGCCCAGGAGACGGTCCCAGTCGGACTCTTCCCACTCGACACTGGTCTGGCTTCAAGCCCTGGCACTAGTTTGTCATCTGAAGACCAAGAGTCAACCTTGGCCGGATTCACTCCTATCCTTACCAGCATGTCGGAGAACAACTCCAAAGGGATCCTGCATGCCGGTCCGACCAGCCTCGCCCTGATAAACGAGGCGCTAGATTGGATCCAAAGGATGAGTATCTCAGACGACCTGTCCTCGGCTCGCGTTCAGCAGAACCTTGAGATAGGCCACGAGGAATTTTGCATCCCACCCACCACCCACTTGGTAGCCACTACCAAAGACTTAATCGATATGTTGAATTACGCCTCCAAGGAGGCCGAGGACATGGACAATGACATCAAATCGATAGTCCACACTGACACCAACGCC